TAAATATTTTTAAATTGTAAAAATAATTTTTAGGCCAGGCGTGGTGGCCCATCTCCATTAAAAATGCAAAAAAAAAAAATGAGGCATGATGGTGCAAGCCTGTGGTCGCAGCTGCTTGGGAGGCTGAGGCAGGAGAATCTCTTGAATATGGGAGGTGGAGGTTGCAGTGAACCAAGGTAGTGCTGCCGCACCCCAACCTGGGTGACAGAGCGAGACTCCATCTCAAAAAAAAGAAAAAAAAAATTTAACCATTTTTTAGCAGCTCACATATAATCCCAGCACTTTGGGAGGCTGAGGGTGGAAGATTGCTTGAGGCCAGGAGTTTGAGACCAGCTGGGGCAATACAGCAAGACCCCATGATTTTTTAAATTCAGTTTAATTTTATACACACACACACACATATATTTTTAAATAGAGACGGGGTTTCTCCATGTTGATCAGGCTGGTCTCCAACTCCCTACCTCAGGTGATCCACCTGCCTTGGCCTCCCAAAGTGCTGGGATTACAGGTGTGAGCCACCACGCCCTGCCTATTTTTTTTTTTTAAGCTAAATCCAAAGTAAGCTGAAGAAAATAAGTAATAAAAATTAGTGCAGAAATCAGTGAAATTGAAAAACAAACTCAATAGAGAAAAGGAACTAAACCAAAAGTTGATTCTTTGAAGAGATTAATAAAATAAACTCCTAGCCAGGCTCCCTAAGAAAAAAAGAAAGGAAACAAATTATTAATATCAAAAACAAAAGAGTGGGCATCACTACTGATCTCATGGACCTTAAAACACTGTGAACAATTCTGTGGTCACAAATTTGTTAACCAAGCTAAAATGGACCAATTCCTTGAAAGACACAATGTGCCAAAATAACACAGGAAGAAATAGACAATATGGATAGGCCTATTTCTATTTAAAATGCAGACAAGGCACCCTTATGTGCCTGACACATGTGCTTGGAGGACATCATGATAAAATCAGAAAATAAGTTGAGGGCTGGGTGCAGTGGCTTATGCCTGTAATGTCAGCTCTTTGCAAGGCTGAGCTGGAGGATCATTTCAGGTTAGGAGATCAAGACCAGCCTGGCCAACATGGTAAAAACATCACCTCTACACTGAAC